TTCTCATTGAATTTTCCTAACTTCAGGTTTCTGGTTCCTCTTGGCCATTATATCAGCAGAAATGCACCAGTGATGGCCCTCTGGACTTTGACTGCACGGCGGGTTCTTTTCTTTTGAATTTCTTCCGCCTGTGCCTTTTTGTGCTTTCTTTAGTAGAGGACAGTCCAGTTTATCTGTCAAGGATTCCTCTTGGAAAGCAATGCCAACTCCCATTTTGCATTAAGAAACTGGAAACCCTTCCCGTCGGTCCTGGCATAGCACCTCCCATGTCCAGGGTAGATATTGTACCCACTAAAACTGCACAGCTCAACCTTCATGGCTGCAGCTGCCGGAGGGAAGGAAAGATGGTCCTGTGTCTGGTTTTTTAACCAGTTGCATGTTGCAGACTTCTGCAGAGTCCTGTCCAGCGTAGGTGGGAAGCAATAAGGAAGTCCAGGGAACTCATTGCTCAAGTCCTGAGGTCCCTAGATGGTCTGCCTTCTTTCCATCCTTCAGTCTTCCTAGGCTTATGTGTTGTTATGTCCAGGTTCTTGTAGTTGTGAGAGGAAGAACCTGGGAGGAATGGGGTTACTCCATCTTGGCTGGACCAGAAGTCACATCCTTCCTTTTAAGATGGGGAGACTAACCCTTTCAATGAGTTCTCAATGGAACCACCAGGATCTTTTTAAAAAACTGATTTTTCAAATGGAATTCTATAAGATTTGTACTTAATTTTTGTTTAAAAAACAGATTTTAAAGCCAAAATAAAACCTTGAAAACCACTGCTCTAGGACACCTCACTAAAAATTAAATCCAAAGCTTTTTCCATGTCTGTCTCTCACAGCCAGTCTTTGAACCGTTGGGAAGCAGGGACTCTGTTCTATTTATTTGTTTTTTTCTAGCACTTGACCGTGCCCAGCATGTAGTATCTATCCAGTATGTTTGTGAAGGAGTGGAGTCATTTATGCAGATCTGTCTTCTCTGCCCTTGAAGTTCCTTTACTACTTACTCTATCTCAGGATCTTTTTTTTCCTCTTGCCAGGTATCCTAGATACAGCCATTGTTGATCGGGGGAGGAATGTGGTATCTGGTTCTCGAGATGGAACAGCACGACTTTGGGATTGTGGGCGCTCAGCCTGCCTGGGAGTCATTGCAGACTGTGGTTCTTCCATCAATGGAGTGGCTGTGGGTGCTGCTGACAACTCCATCAACCTCGGCTGCCCTGAGCAGATGCCCAGTAAGTTGATAAGGACCTATGAGCTATTTTGTTTCCTTAGGCCCGTCCTTTTCTGCTCTGTAGCTGGTATTTCTGTTTCACCATAAGATTAATATTATTGCAAACCTACTCTGTTTCTGTTGCCTTAAAATCTAAAAAAGAACTATGTGTCATAGTTATTGCATTTGAGTAATTACAATTTAATATCAGATTAGATGAATGCCTATAAAACAGAGAACAATAAATTTTTGGCTGAAATAACTTAGTGATTCTTAGAAGAAGACACTGTATTGGGTTAGTGTTGATGTGAAAGGTGTCACAAAAGGAGTTGACTTGAATCTTGAAGGATGGATTCCAGGTGGACAGACAAGAATAGGAAGGATGGGAGGATGGGAGCTAGGGCAGGGTTACCAGGGACTCCACGTTGCCTAATCCAGTGTTACTTTTCTGTGCTTTTCTTTCTGAATTTTCTACAGAGTTCAATGTCGGCCCCTCTTCTCAGGAAACTTTTCTGTCTTGGCTTCTGTGATATCACATTATACTGCTTTTCTTCCTATCTCACTGGCTGCTAATTCTTAGTCTACTTTTATAAATCTCCTTTATTCTACCTTTAAGTATTGGAGGACCCTCAGCTCTAACTACAGTTTCTCCCTGGGTGATCAAGGGCTTTAAGTATTGTATTTAAGCTGGTGATTTCCAAAAGTATATCTAAAGTATAGGCCTCTCACCTGTGATTTAGACTCTATTTAGATGTCTAATAGCTCAAACTTACCTTGTCTGACACAGAGTGTTTTATTCCTACCGCCATCCCCCAATCTGTTTTTCTCCATCTTACCATTGCTCAGGCCCAAAGCCTGGGATTCATTCATAGTTCACCCCTGCCTTTCCTCATGTCCTACATCAGCAAAGTCTTCTCTACCTTCAAAGTGTTTCTAATTTTTCCACCTTGCTCTCTCCCTCCCGTTCTCCCTCCTACCAGTATCCTGGTGCAATCTATCATCATCTATTGCTTGTACTATTCTCCTAGAATCCATTCTCCTCAGAGCAACCATTGTGGTCATTGAAAAAACATAAATCAAGTCATGCCACTGTTCTTTGTCCCTGCTCTTCTCCAGTGGCCTCCTTTTACACATACATTAAAATCTTAACCCTTTACCATGGTTTATCACAAACCCTTACACTGTCTGACCCCAGTGTGGCTCAGTTGGTTGGGCGTCGTCCAGTGCACCAAAAGGTTGCCAGTTTGAGTCCCGATCAGGGTACATGCCTGGGTTGTGGGCTGGATCTCCGATAGGGGGCACACAGGCAGCAACCAATCAATGTTTCTCTCTCTCTATCTCTATCTCTATCTCTCCCTCCTTTTCTCCCTCTCTCCCTCCCCTTTCTTACTTTAAAATTTAATAAAAATATATTTTTAAAAATTAATGAGTGAATCACTAACAGAGTAATTCAGTAAACAGCCATCAGTGTCTTGCTTTCTGGGTACTGCCAGCTGATCAACCAGTTATTGACATAGCTCATCTGTCATACAGGTGAACGGGAGGTTGGAACAGAATCGAAAATGCTGCTGTTGGCCCGGGAAGATAAGAAGCTTCAGTGCTTGGGACTACAGAGCAGGCAGCCGGCAAGTGGTTCCTCTAAGTTCTTTGAACTCTGGGGCAAGCTGGGTCACTCTGATTCTTGGAAGGGTGTTTTAGAAACATTTCTAAAATCACACTGTGCTCACCTTTTGAGGAAGCTGCATGAGTGAGAGGCAGTCCATTGTAGTGATTAATAGCATGGGATTTAGAATAGAGCAACATTTAAATTCCAGCTCTTCCACTTATGGCTATGACATCGCACAGGTTACTTAACCTGTCTGACCCTCAGTCTCCTCATCATTAAACTGGGCCTGGTAGGACTTATCTCATAGAGTTATGTGATGAGGATTAAATGCTCTACCGCAAGTCACTTTCCCTCTGGGCCTTCATGTGCTGTACATAAAATGATTGTATAGATTCCTTTCCACCTCTAAGGTAACATGAAGAAATTCTGAGTAAAGAACTCACACACTCAGGGCTCTAGATCAGATAATGATCGGAATATCTTTTATAGAAGAATTAGTTGAATTTAACTCTGAAGTTTTGCTGAGCATACTGTGTTCTTAATAAACTCTGAGTTCCCTGGGATTGGGTTTTTCAGATTTTAACTCCATCACCAGATAATTTTAATGATTTGGTTTGGCCATAAGCTGTGTATTTTCATTTTATCTCCTTAGTTCATTTTATTGGTGATGTTTCCATTTTCAAAGTTGTTCCAGGAACATCATTATTTGTCATCATACTGCCTTTGCACTCTGAATTTCCATGCTGGCTTTTACTTCCAAAGGGAAATCAAGGATTTTTGTTTTGTTTTGCTTTGTATCTTTCCTTTTTAGAACATTCAAGGGAGAAATTATCAATATCAGCTAACAGTAAGGAATAATAAAAATCTGATAATTTCTTTTCTCAAGTACATAGGGAGAATTGTGATTCTTTAAGTTGCCACTTTATTTAAGGTTGGTTTTTCCTACAAATTATCTCCCTTCAAAAGGTGGTTATAAGTGACATGAAGCAAATCTTAAATGTGTGCATTGCAAGTGTTTCTCAAATGGAAGGTTGTAATGAAAAGAGGGAAAAGAAGGATTTTGGTGTTGAGGATTCTATGAGTCAATGTGTTGAGAGGTAGTAGTTTGAAAATTGCTGCCTCAGACTGTGGTATTATATAAACTGCTGAAGTCCTCAGCCAACCTCAGGTTCCTGAAATCCTGGAAGTGCTTCTTTCTCAGTTGTTGGTGAGGGCATGGTTTAGACCAAGAATGCTTAAAGGGCCCTGGCCGGTTTGGCTCAGTGGATAGAGCGTCAACCTGTGAACCGAAGGGTCCCGGGTTCGATTCCAGTCAAAGGCATGTACATCGGTTGCAGACTCTTCCCTGACCTGGGCCCAAGCCCATGCAGAAGGCAACCAATCGATGTGCTTCTCTCACATCCATAGTTCTCTCTGTCTTTCCCTCTCTCTTCCACTCTCTCTAAAAATTAATGGAAAAATATCCTTGAGTGAGGATTAAAAAATAAAAATAAATGAATAAAGGGGAAAATTTGATTCTTAAAAAAAAAAAAGAATGCTTAAAGGGGGAAGAAAGAAAATATCTCTAAAAATAGTAAAATTTTTATTTTTTTGGTGCCTGTTTATTCCTGGAAACAAATTAAGCTTTAACAGCATTTTTGTCTCCTACTTTTCCCAGGTATTCCTCTTTATTGGCTCAGATGCCTTCAACTGCTGTACTTTTCTCTCTGGCTTCTTGCTGTTGGCTGGGACACAGGATGGAAACATTTATCAGCTGGATGTGAGGAGTCCAAGGTGAGTCACCATTCCTTTGCATGATGTAGACCTTCTACAGAGTGGAAATTTTTTTGGCTTTAACATTGGTTTAGCATAGCATATAGGCTATTATTGAATCAAGGATATATTTTTCCATTTATAAAGGTTTTCTGCTGTGAATTGTCTGATTGTTCTTATTACTAGAGTCCTTATCATTCTTGGAATCATTAAAAGGTGGTTTGATTCATACTGTCATGAATGTCCTATTGTGGTGATTGCTTTGGAAATTAAGGTTAAATAATGAACTAATATTTCACTTTAAAATTATTGTGTAAAACTTAATTTTAAGGAGCTCAGTAATTTTCTTTATGTATTAGATCTGGGTTAGCCTAAAATTGGTCATTTTTCAGTTTGAAATAAGCCAACTCTGGTTCTTTATTTAGCTTTTATCATAACCTATTTCAAACAGGCCTTATTCTGATCCTAAAGCTATCCAAAGAAAACCTCTCTGTCCCAGGATTTAACATGTCTACAACTTCTTCCTCTCTCTATTTCCTTCCTTTGTTCAACTGATATTTATTGAATAGCTTCTGTGGGCACCAGGCCTTGTGCAGGGCACTGAAAACCAGACAAGATATAGATTCTGACTTTTAGGCATTTGGAGTCTAGTAGTAACACCCAACAAGTAAAAGACTGTCGTGATGCAGTGTGGTCAGCGGTCTGACAGGGATATGAGGAAGCACCAGGGAGAGGGAAGAAGGTGAGATTACTTCCCAAGGAGATGAGGCTTTAATTGCATCTTGTCCAGTAGGGAGTTACCAAGTAAAGAAGAAAGGGCAGAATAGCATATAGAGAAGCATGAAGGCATGTGAAAGTATGGCACTTTCAGGGATCTCTGAATAGTTTGATATGACAGATATGTACCCTGCAAACAGGGCAACAGACAGGAAAGTGTGAGTTTGCCTAGAAAAGACTTGCATACCAGCCTAAGGAGTTTGAACTTTATTCCAAGAGCAGTGAAGAAATTCCAGCTAAAGAGTGACCAGCTTATACCTTTTCTTCCATAAGTTAAGTTACTTTATTTTTGTACTTGTTTTTGCCTCCCTGGAGATAGGGACTCTGTGATCACTATTATAAAATTACTCTTGCCCAGCTGTATGGCTCAGTGGTTGAGTGTCAACCTATGAACCAAGAGGTCATGGTTCGATTCCCGATCAGGGCACATGCCCAGGTTGCAGGCTTGATCCCCAGTAGGGGGCATGCAGGAGGCAGCCTATTAATGATTCTCATCATTGATGTTATGTATATATATAGTCACTCACCTTTCTGTTTTGTTTTATATAGAATCCTGAAAATTTTAATATTTCATAACTGTCTTAATTATCTAGAAGCAAAAAGATTTACATATTGTTAACATTGTAAGGCTTCCCCGAAAACTGGAGATAGTGGTGGTGACCAGGCTTATTCAGTTCAATGACATGTTTAGAGACAGATTTAAATTCACTCCACAGTATTTTAGAATGGGTTGTCTTGATCTACCATTTAATTATCTTGCAGGGAAGAAGCCATATGAATATTTAATCTCTGTTTATGTCCTTTTTGCTATTATGTGGTTAGTACTATATAATCAGGCATTGCTTTTGAAGAAAAAAACTAATTGCCCCTTTTACTGTGAATCCTAGGGCTCCAGTACAAGTCATCCACAGATCAGGAGCACCAGTTCTATCCCTGCTGAGATTCAGAGACGGATTCATTGCTAGCCAAGGTGGGTCCAAGGGCCAATGAGAAGAGATGGTTCCATGCAATTCAGTTTCACAGAGGTTTAAGGGTCTGGTCTGTGGCTGTGCTAGGGGCATGGTCCTCCACAATTGTTTGGCATATTGTGCTTATCACATAGTGTTTCTCACCCTACATTATAATTGTCTATGTCCCCCTCCAGTCCAAGCTCCTTGACAATAGTGACTATGCTATTCATTGTTTTTATCTCCAGCATTTAACTTAGTGCCCACTATGTAGTTGGTGCTCAGTAAACATTGGTAGAGTAAATGTATTGTCCTTTATTGTAAAACATTGAGGATTCAATAATGAATCAGTGACAGTCTGCCCTAAAGGAGCTCACAGTTAGTAAGGCATTTAAAAAAAAAAATTTATCAGGAACAGCCCAGCAGGTAAACCTTATTGTCCAGATTATAATACATGCCCATGCCAAACGCAGTCACCAGCAAGGAGAGTACAGTTACCATAATTCGCTTGGGCTAATCAGGCTCCTCTCCACGTCCCTGTTACTGGAAGGAATCTGGGCTTTTCTGCCAATCAGGAGAAGAGCAGGAAATAGGTGAGTAGGTAGCCAACAGTCCTGGGTATTCGTGGCCATCTCTCAAATCCTTCCTGTCACAATGTGCCTCGTTTCCTTAGCCCTTCTCCTTCAGGATTTCCACACCATAGCAGAGTAGTCAGGAATCTGCAGACCCAATTTTATAGCTCTCTGCACTTGCTCTCTCTCAGTCTCTCTTTCTTCCTCCCTGTCTTGGCATCAGTTTAGTGACGCAGCAGTACTCTTTATGGAGCCTTAATAAGAGAGCCGCTGGCATAGCTTGTGACAGCTTCTCTGATGCTGCTGCTACCACTCTTGTGATCCTTTTTCTTTCATTCCGCTGCTGCCATGCCACACTCTTCCCTTGAGATCTCTATTCTGGCCTCATCTTTCTGCTCAAATTCCCCTCTTGTAGCCCCCAATGATTAGCTTCTTGCTAGATCCAGTGGCCTTTAAAGGTATAGACTGTCTTGTCCCAAAGTTTCCGTGAGGACAAGTACTATATCTCTTCATTTCTGTAACCCCAGCTCTTGCACTGAAGAATTATAGCAAATATTTGTTGAATGAGTGAGTACATATTTTCATGACTCTTGAGTAGTAAGAAATTTTATTACTGTTAGTCCCTCCTTAAAACTTAGCTCCTTTGGGTGTGTATCGGGGGAGGGTGGTGAGGGCATGTGCTGGGGGTTGGGGCAGCGGGGAGAGGTCAATGGGGGAAAAAGGAGACTTATGTAATACTTTAAACAATAAAGAATTAAATACAAAAAAAATACTTAGCTCCTTTGACTTCGGTGATACTAATTAATCTCCTGATTATTCTCTTTCTTCAGTTACTGATCCTTTCTCCGGTTTCATTAGCTTATATGCCTAGCATGATTCATGGCACACTGTATGTTTTCAAGTTGTTTGTTGAAATTGAATCCTTTTGTTATTCCTACTATTGTTGCCATCCCTAAACCAGCGATATTTCCTGAGTTTAGTCTTTGTCCTTTTCCCCTTTCTCCTCTGTGCTTCCTCAAGGACTGACAAGTCTCATGGTTTCAGCTGTTAATTATTGGAATCCATAGCTTCTAAACCTGACCTCCTACTTGGTCCATATTTTATTGGGCAACATGATATAGTAAAATCATAGATTTTGGACCCAAACTGACAATCTAATCAATGAGTTTAAATCATCACTCCATCACTTACTATGAGATTCAGCCATATATGACTTTCCTAATATATAATAATTTTTTACTTATAAAAATGGCAATAATATATGACTTAATCTAATAGTTCGGTGACCTTTGGTAAATCATTTCACTTTTCTGTCTCACTCTCCTCAGAGATAAAGTATGTAAAGTGCTCAGCATTAAGCAAACGGTCTATGAATGATAGTTGCTTCTTACTCCTGTTACTGCCCCTTGCCCTGTAAGCCCTCCTAAAAAGTGTTCCTTGTCATCGTGATCCAGTGACAGGGCACACACCCACAAAAAGCAGAATTATGCTATCGGGCAAGATATGTTAAAGTTACAGGAATTAGTAAGTGTTACAAGAGATTGACGGGTTGGTTAGAAGCTTCCTAGAGGAAATGGGACTCGAGCTGGGGCTTATCAGGAGGTAAGATTTGCACATAGAAACTTAAGTGCAAAAGAAGACCTATTGTAAACATACATTTTTTTGAGAGGAGAGAAAAGAAACTCAGTAGTAGATATCACCTTTCCTTGCTGAAGTAATAACAGTGAGAAATTCACAAAAATTATGGATGGTTTCCCACTCTGGCTTAAAATGAGACTTTTAAGACAGAAGGATTGTGAACAAACCTAGAGTCACATTGCAGCACATGAGAAGTTGATGTCGTCTCTGGCAGTTCTGACGAAACAGAGCTTAGTATCCCCGAGAACCAGCATGTAGGCTACCCCGGTCCTCTGCATTTCTTCCCTCCCCCGCCCTATCTTCAGGCCACTTAAAAAACATACCAATAACTCTGTGCCAAGGGGTGTGTGGGTGAAGTGAAGAGTAACATGTGGAAAAGAGCTAACTCATGCCCCTTCTACTTTTGTAACTCTTTTCTACTGGAAAGAAAGAAAGGTATAACTTCTGTCATTGATCTAAAAGTAAAGGGAATAAACAAATTTATAACTCTATGTTCAGAGGACAAAATTAAGACAAATAAAAAAAAGTTATCAGGCCCTGGCTGGTATGACTTAGCTGGTTGAGCATCGTGCCATGCACTGAAAGGTCACCGGTTCGATTCCCAGTCAGGGCACATACCCAGGTTGTGGGTTTGATCCCTGGTGGGGGTGTGTGCAGGAGGCCACCATCAGTGTATCTCTCTCACATTGATGTTTCTCTCTCTCCCCCTTTCTCTCTCTCTAAAAAATCAATAAAAACTTTTATTTTTAAAGAAAGAAAGTTATCAGGAGCCACATTTCAGTTCAATATAAACAAAAGCATTCTATTTCATAAGAAAGAAGTGGGAATTGATGTCATGAGCACCACTAACCAGGAGATGGACAAGTATAGGCTGGTGGCTGCCCTGCAAGGTGCTGAGGAAGGAATTCTGTACTTGGTTTAGAAGTCAGAAATAGATGATCTCTGAGCTACTTTGGAACTCTGATTCACTAGAGAGGAGATTGAAATTGCCAGATTAAATAACTTTTAAAACTTTTTATTATGGAAATTGCCATATATGTACGGAGGTAGAGAGAAGAATAGCATAATGAACCGTTGTCCAGCTTCAACTATTAACAATTTATGACCGTTCTCTCTCTGCTTCCTGCTGCTGGGGCGGCGGGGTGGGGGAGCCGAGCTAGCTCGAATACAGACTCTTATATTAAGACAAATAAAAAAAAGTTATCAGGCCCTGGCTGGTATGACTTAGTTGGTTGAGCATCGTGCCATGCACTGAAAGGTCACCGGTTCGATTCCCAGTCAGGGCACATACCCAGGTTGTGGGTTTGATCCCTGGTGGGGGTGTGTGCAGGAGGCCACCATCAATGTATCTCTCTCACATTGATGTTTCTCTCTCTCCCCCTTTCTCTCTCTCTAAAAAATCAATAAAAACTTTTATTTTTAAAGAAAGAAAGTTATCAGGAGCCACATTTCAGTTCAATATAAACAAAAGCATTCTATTTCATAAGAAAGAAGTGGGAATTGATGTCATGAGCACCACTAACCAGGAGATGGACAAGTATAGGCTGGTGGCTGCCCTGCAAGGTGCTGAGGAAGGAATTCTGTACTTGGTTTAGAAGTCAGAAATAGATGATCTCTGAGCTACTTTGGAACTCTGATTCACTAGAGAGGAGATTGAAATTGCCAGATTAAATAACTTTTAAAACTTTTTATTATGGAAATTGCCAGATATGTACGGAGGTAGAGAGAAGAATAGCATAATGAACCGTTGTCCAGCTTCAACTATTAACAATTTATGACCAATCTTGTGTCATGTTTTGAAATATATCACAGACATATTATTTCATGTCAGTATTTCTATGAGTATCTCTAAAAGATAAGGATTTGGTGGGGAGGATTATTTTTAATACCCAAGGATATGTTGATTTATTTATTTGTTTGTTTGTTTTTAGGGAGAGCATGAGTGAGAGATCGTTTTAGAAACATTGATGAGAGAAACATCAATTGGTTGCCTCCGTTACTTACCCCAACTGGGTACTGAACCAGCAATCTTTTGGTGGGTGAGACAATACTCCCAACCAGCTGAACCACCTGGCTGTGTAGTGGGGGGAGATTGAAGGAAGGATAAAGTCCTCCTGTATGTTGCTGGTTGGAGTATATAGATTGATGAACAGAATAATTAAACTAAAATTTATTAACATAATTTTGGAAAGCAGTTTTTCAGATTTCTGAAAATTTTAAATATTATCTTTTGATTATTTTCAAGTGTTCTATACAAAGTCATAGTCTTAATACAGAAAAAACTTTATGTAAAAGATATTCTTTTATGCCCTAGCTGGTTTGGCTCAGTGGATAGAGCCTCGGCCTGAGGACTGAAGGGTCCCAGGTTCGATTCCAGCCAAGGACACATGCAGGGTTGAAGGCTCTATCCCCAGTGTGGGGCATGCAGGAGGCAGCCAATCAATGATTCCCTCTCATCACTGATGTTTCTATCTCTCTCTTCCTCTCCCTCTCTGAAATCAATAAAAATATATTTTTAAAAAAGATATTCTTTTATGCAAAAAAGTTAACAGTAATTATCTTTGATAGATTATAGGTGACTTTTTTACTTCTCTGTTTCTTTATTTTAAAAGTTTTCTTTAATGAGCATGTATTACTACTTTTATATCAAGTAAGACCAATAAATCACCTTAATTATCAGTTTAAAACCCCAAGTTTCATTTATCTATGCTCTTCTGAGGAAAAGCTTAAAAATTAGATATACATTTATTTTCTTGGTATAACTTTTTTCCTTTGCCTAATATATATGGTCAAGATTATAGATTGAAGAATAATTTGTGGGGCATAGATTTTTTTTTTTTTTTAGAAAAACATTTGTGTAGATAACTTTCCTGTTAAAAGTTATTGCTTAGGATAAGTTTTCATACAGATACCTAAATCTGTAGTTGCTTGCTCTGTGCCCTTGGCAGGTATTGCTCATCAAAGACAAACCTTCTTTCCACAGAAGGCACTTGACCTTCAAATCCTCTGTAGCCTCGCATTCTAGGCAGCCACTGTAGGTCCTCACAGTTGGTCTACATAATGAGACCTGTTTGCCTTTCTAGGTCTTAGGACAATGTTCCTTAGGTTACTGACGTACAGAAATAAATTAAAATATTGAGGTTTTTAAAAACTTCTTTGTATGCAGATTTCTCTTCAGTTTTCTAAATTTTCTTTCTGTCTTTTAGGTGATGGAAGCTGTTTCATTGTCCAGCAAGACTTAGACTATGTCATTGAGCTCACTGGGGCTGACTGTGACCCTGTGTACAAGGTACAGGCCTGACTGGAGACCAAGACTTGATGGTTCTCACCTGGGATCTAGAGCTTTGGAGGGGACTGAATCCAGTTACTTTGTGACTTTTTACGGGTGATGAAATACTTAGGGATGGGATAGAAAGAAATCAGAATTTTGAGTCAGAAATTACTTCATCACTTACTAGATCTAGAAACTTGAAAAATCACTTCACCTCCCCAGTCTATCAGTTCATCTGTAAAATGAGGATAATACTGGAATAATGCATATGAAGGCTTCTTATAAATTTAAAATACTATATAGCCCAGTGTCTCAGTGGTTGAGCATCGACCTATGAACCAAGAGGTAACAGTTCAATTCCCAGTCAGGGCACATGCCTGGGTTGCAGGATTGATCCCAGTAGGGGGTGTGCAGCAGTCAGCCAATCAATGATTCTTTCTCATCACTGATGTTTCTATCTCTCGCTCCCTCTCCCTTCCTCTCAGAAATCAATAAAAATAATATATATTTTAAAATACTCTATAAATATTAGATATTAGTATTTAAAGTTCAAGACTGATTGATTGATTTGATTAGAATGGAAAAGAGAAAAATAAAAGGGGAAATAATATTGATTGACCAGTCATTGTGCAGGATGTTTTACATGTATTATCTCATTGATTAAGTGTTTTCATTCCTTGAAGTATAGGTATTATTACTCCTACTTTTTCATATAATTTTTTAAAAATTATGTAATTAATACATGGCTAGAAAAAAGTCTCCTCTAAGACTTTTTTAGTTTAGTTCTTGTTTTTTAAAAAATATGTTTTTATTGATTTCAGAGAGAGGAGGGGAGAGAAAGAGAGAGAGAAACATCAATGATAAGAGAGAATCATTGATCAGCTGCCTACTGCATGCCCCAAACTGGGGATCCAGCTGGCAACCTGGGCATGTGCCCTGACTGGGAATCAAACCCTGACGATCTGGTTCATAGATTGACACTCAACCACTGAGCCACACTGGTTGAGCTAGTTCAGCTCTTCTTTCCAGAAGTTACTGGCATTGACAGTTTGACACATATCTTTCAAGACTGTTTTTTGTGTTTATGTATTTATATAAATAATACAGGTTTATCTTAGTTTGTACATAACTGGAATCATCTTATATGTATTGCCTTATGACTTTTTGTTTATTTGTTTTTATTTTATTTTTAAAATATATTTTTATTGACTTCAGAGAGGAAGGGAGAGGGAGAGAGAGAGAGAAACATAATGATCATAGAGAATCATTGATTGGCTGCCTCCTGCACATCCCACACTGGGCATGTGCCCTTGACCATAATTGAACCAGGACCCTTCAGTCCGCAGGCCAACACTCTATCCACTGAGCCAAACCGGCCAGGACACTTGTTTTGTTTTGTTTTTTTACTTATCATCTTGGAGCTCTTTCCAGACAAATGCACATAGATCCACTTTAATTCTAAAAGTTTCTGCATTGTGTTCTATGTTGTGAATTAATATATCATTTTCAGTTTACAAATAAGGAAATTGGGGCCCAGAGGAGTTGAGAAAGTTGCCCATGGTCGTGCAGCTATGCATAAGCAAACCTGAGACTCAGCTAACTTCTGAATTAATGCTATTTTCACTGATTTAGTGGCTCTTAACCTTCTTTGAGTCTCAGACTTTTTTGAGAAGTCTATGAAATTCTCCTCAGAAAAAGAGACACATATTGAGAACTTCTTTGTGTATAATTCTGTGAGGCTCAGGGGTACCCAGGGCCATTATGGACCATCTGTCTCCTCCCAGGTATAGACTCTCTAAACAGGCACAACACTATTGGGTTTGCTCTCCAGTTGGGTAATTACTGTCTCTAGTCATAGTGCTCTTGACTATGGCTAGCCACTTTAAAAATACATATAGATGTAATTATTTTCTTGTCTTTGGAGTAAATAAAGCTTCTCAGACTCCCTTGTACTAGTGGGGGTGAATGACAAGGCTCTATCTGTTTGAAATGGAATCCAGGCTTACTGTGAACTGTGAACTCTTGTATTCCAGGTAGCCACATGGGAGAAGCAGATCTACACATGCTGTCGAGATGGTCTCGTGCGGCGCTATCAGCTCTCTGACCTGTGATTCCTGTGAAGGAGGAGTCCCAGTTAATGAAAACGATTGACCATGACCAACAATGAGCAGAAACATCATCAGTCCTTCCCGAGGACCGTGCTCTTTGTTGTCGCGGGCACCCTTCGGAAGTCACAGAGAGTCAGCTACATTGGCCACGTGGAACTACTGTTCCACACAAGACTAATGTGAACTGAGTAAGAAGCTCACATGTGCTCACTGCATTTGCCCGACTTCTTCTATAAACTCACCGCAGCAACACGGGGAAGGTGATGGGTTGCTTACAGTTTGATCACACATCTGTTGTGTTAAATGTTTACAGGACCAGGGGACCAAAGCCTGTTCTCTGAAGGGAATAAAGAGAGTATGTTTGGAGGAGTCAGAATTTGAAAACTTTGTTAAATGCTCTTATTCCAGCAGAAAGTCAGTCAGGCTGATGGAACTCCTTTCTCAGGCACTTCCTGTTGGCCTGGTCTTAGAGGAGGACTGTTGACATGAGCAGTAAAGATCCCATAGGCAGCATGCTGGGAAAGACTTTTGTACAGGTAGGATGACTACCATCCCAGTTTTCCTTGTACTGAGGGGTTTTCGGCTACCTGTGGCTTTCAGTCCCAGCAAACCGACATGGTCTGTCAGCCTATATACTGTTGATGAAGTTGAATCAAAACATTGTAAAGGCAATGGCTGTGAAAGTGGTCCCTAGAACAGCTTCTTAGTATCACCAGGGAATTAGAAATAGAAATTCTTGAGCCCACCTCAGACCTAAATCAGAAATTCTATGGGTAGGGCCTACAATCTATTTTAACAAGCTTTCCATGATTCTGAAGCATGCTGAAGTTTGAGATCTAGAGAAAGAGATGGTATAGGGCACTTTAGTCAGAGATGGAACCCAGGGCTCATAGGATGGCCAGGCTGGCCTGTAGGAGATGAGGTTGGAGAGGCTGGCAGGGCCCGAATAGTGAAGGAGCTTGAATGCCAGATGGGGAGCTTGAACTTCACTTGGCTGGCAGTGGGGAGTCATGAAGGGGTTTTTAAGCAAAAGTGTGACGTGGTTACTTCTTTTTTTCTCTAAACATAAAAATGGAATCATTATGTGTTCTGTGGCTTATTTTCACTTAGTATCTTAGTTCTTTTACATTTAGACCTTCATTCTTTTTAACAATTTCCAGAACATGAAAGCCATATCCTTTACATTTTAGAGATTATTAAAGAAAAAGTTTGGAGCTTGCAACGCTTGAGCTGAGCCATGTGGCTGAGCTCTGGAATTTATTTAAGGGAAGGAAGGTAATTCCTGGCTCAGGTAACAGTCTGGTTTACAGAGTTCTTAAAGGCATGTTCTCATGTAGTCTTTTGCTACCTTGTGACATACCAGTAGTGAGACTCAGAGAGATGAAGTGATTTGCCAGGGGTCATAGAGAGCAGGAACTTGAACAGTTTATCTTAACTTTAAATGCCATTTTTTTTCTACCTGTTGCTAATGCCTAAACAAAATTGTGAAAATAAAATATTGTCATTCATTGAGTATCTACTAGTAATCTACTCTGTTCTGGGTTCTATCTGTGTATATTTAATCCTTACAACACGGTTAAAAAGGAAGATATTCCTGTTTTACAGATAAGGAAATTGAGGCTCAACATTAAGTACCAGAGCCTTGATTGGACCTTGCTCAGTCTGTCTCCAAGGCCTGTGCTCCTTCCACCTAAGCATGTGGCCACGAGACCTGGGACTAGAGCTATTTCACTGAAGAAGTGATTTGTGATAGGCTCAGGTGACCGAAGAGACATATTCCAGAGCTGAGAAACATCGATTCCTAGGAAGTCCAAGGGGACCTCTCAGAAGTCAGATTAAGAAGCCAGGATGAACCCTGGCTGGTCTGGCTCAGTTGGTTAGAGCATTGTCCTGATACACCAGGTTCAATCCCTGGTCAGGGTACACACTAGAATCAACAAATGAATACTCAAATAAGTGGAACAACAAATTGATATTCCCTTCCTCCCACACCCCCACTCTCTCGCTCTCTCAAAAAAGAAAGAAAACAAAACAGGATTATGGCTTGAGTTCATCACATGGCCAGTGTGTCTGAGTTCCCATTCTTGGACTCTTCTCCATTGCTGTCACATTCATAACCCCCTTTCCATAGGTCTCCAAAGTGGATATCCTGGTTGTGATGGATGCAGTGACCTTGAGAGCTGCTGTGAAATCCACACCCAAGCCTTGTCCACTGTGAATGGACTGATCCCCACTTTGTAACAGACAAAGCTTACTTTTTCTTTTGGATTAAGTAGTGCATTCTGGGTAAGGAAGGGTGCACAACCCCCATCCGCAGCACTGCAGGCCCAGTGAAGCTCTGCTAGACCTTGTTTCTTGGTTTTCAGATGCCCCCTTGTGACTTATTGTGAGAAGTGCCTCTGTTTCTTAAGCTGACAATGGCATCAGCTATGGAGCAAGGACTCCGTACCAAGCACAGGCCTTACAATAGCCTTGTAAAGTAAGGTTTATTTTAAACAATGTGGATATATTTTATATTTTTTTCTAATTTAATTTATATTTTGAAATAATTTCAAACTTACAAATAAGTTGCAAGAATAGTACAAAGGATTCTAATCACCCAGATCTCCCAGTATTTAACTTTTTGTTTACTTTATCACTCTCCCCTCCCCCCTTCTTTCTCTTTCTGGCTTGTGAGTGCACTGCTGCCCTCAAGGAGATGAAGCAGAACGTCCCCCTCTTTTTTTTTTTTTTTAATATATTCTATTTATCTTTTACAGAGAGGAAGGGAGAGGGACAGAGAGTTAGAAACATCGATGAGAGAGAAACATCGATCAGCTGCCTCCTGCACACTCCCTACTGGGGATGTGCCCGCAACCAAGGCACATGCCCTTGACCAGAATCGAACCCAGGACCCTTGAGTCCGCAGGCTGACGCTCTATCCACTGAGCCAGACCGGTTAGGGCAGAATGTCCCACTCTTTAGGGGTGGGCCTCAAAATGACTTCCCACCAAAACGTACAACCCAGAAAGGGGGAAACAAAGTGACTTTACAGTGGAAAAACCTGGCAAACACTGTCTCAGCAGGTGATCAAGATCAGCATCACCAGCCCTGACCGGTTTGGCTCAGTGGATAGAGCCTCGGCCTGAGGATTGAAGGGTCCCAGGTTCGATTCCGGTCAAGGGCATGTACCTTGGTTGCGGGCACATCCCTAGTAGGGGGTGTGCAGGAGGCAGCTGATCGATGTTTCTCTCTCATCGATGTTTCTAACTCTCTATCGCTCTCCCTTCCTCTCTGTAAAAAATCAATAAAATATATTTTAAAAAAAAAGATCAGCACCACCAGTGATAGGTCATACCTTTGATCTGATGTGATGAGAATGGCACTCTGGTCTTCCTTCCAAAACCCACAACCCCCAGTCTAATCATAAAAAACAAACAAAACATCAAATCCTAATTGAGAGACATTCCAAAATTACCAGTACTCCTTAAATTGTCAAAGTCATTAAAAACAAAGTTTGAGAAACAGTTGTGGTCAAGAGGAGCCTAAGGAGACGTGACAACTAAATGTAATGCGGGATCCTAGATGGGATCTTGGAACAGCAAGAAGACATTAAGTTAAAAACTAGGAAATCTGAATAAAGAATGAACTTCTGATATAAATGACATGTCAAAATTGGCTATTATTTGTGACAAATGTACAAAGAACTTGTAAGATGTAATAATGGGGGAACTGAGTGTGGGGTATTTGAGAACTCTACTATCTTCACAGCTTGTCTGAAAATCTAAAACTTCTAAAATAAAAATTTATTTTAAAAAACAGCAAAATGCATTTGTTATGAAAAATTTTAAATTAAAACTAATTGCTACTCTCTTAACCCCCTCGGGTTTCTGAGTTGAGTGATCTTTATCAGGGTCACAGAATCAGCCCCAGTTCTCTCAGTTCTTGCATTCACTCTTCCATAAGACAGAGCTGGGAAGGTGGTTTGCTTAGGCAGGAAGGACTATAACTCCCAGAGTGCACCTGTGCGGTTGCCAGGAGCAACCAAGGAATGCAGACTAACAGCCCGGCTAGCGTCAGGGCTATTGAGGACTGCGGGCCAGCCAGCCATGGGCCAGGATTATTACGCTATACTCCATGTCACTCGCAATGCAGAGGATGCCCAGATCAAGAAGGCGTAAGTTGGGACAGGAGCTGGGTTATGTGCTGGGGCAGGCCCCATCTTCTCTTTCAAATTGATCTTTCCTGCACAGCTTTGGGCAAGCGAAGTAAACCTTGTTTCTTCTCGTGCTCCTTGCACACTTATAGCCTGGCTTTGGGCTGCGTCAGGGTTCCCAGTCCATCATCCTTTACCCTCCATGCCCTGTCTTCCCCTCTTAGGTGCCCTGGTTTTCCTAACTATGAAATGGGGACAAAGGAGACATTTGAATTTTATTCTGAATATTATGGAGAACTAAAGGATTGAGAACAGAAGAGTGATCTGGCCAGAAGGATGTGTTACAAGTTTTACTTTGGCTGTCACATGGGTTTTACTGTTGAATAAACTGCATCAAGTTTGGGGGCGTTATGGTCTATTTCTAAGAAAGTCTAGGACAGGAGTTAGCACATTTTTCTGAAAAAAAAAACAAAAACTTGTACACATAATTATTGAGCAACTACTTAATGGGTTAGGAGATATAAGCATGACTCAGAGATGCAGCTTAATTTTGTGGGTGAATACAGATGTTGAATAAGTCACAAGTGTGATGAGTGTTACAAAAGGGGAAGTGCAGGGTGCTGTGGAAGCTTATACTGGAAGGAGAGAGACCCCTTCAGAGGATGTAATGATAAGGCAAAAGCTGAAGCGTGAAGTAGGGCAGGGGGCTGTCCAGAAGGGAGAGAATGGACTTGACAATTACTTGGATAATTAGAGGGTAGAAAAAGGAAGGAATCTAGGATAATTCGATCAATTAAGGTTGGGTAGTGATACTACTACATTTATGGAATTGTACAGGTGTTGTTCTGAGAACCTTCCATCATTATTTCACTTAATCATCCTACAACCCTGGGAGGCAGGTGCCATTATTATCCCAAGGTCACATGCCTAGGAAACAGCAGAGCCCGCACTCAGACACCAGGCCTGCTATAGTTGCCTACCGTGGGCCAGGTCCATTAGGCATCTAAGTGACGTAAGTGGAGAGAGGCTACAGTATGGCTGGAGAAACAAGACACAAACTCGTGAAACAAAGAACAATTCAGGACAGTGTGTCATGTCACCCACTGTTCGGAGCAGCTCACTGGCCTTTGGGGCCCATCGAAGGAAGTATCATGCGGAGGGAGGGCAGTTGGAATCCAGAACGATGAGCCCAACTTAAGCATTGGAAAGATTTAGGTCTGAGTCCAGGTTCTCCTACCTGCTAGCTGTGTGACATGGGCAAATTACTTAACCTCTCTGAGCCTCAGTTCTCCCATCTCTCCCTAAGAAGGGGAGGAGGGTTGTCATGGTATTAAATGGGATTATATGAGATAATGAACATGAATATGCCAGCAATCATTTGCATCTGAAACCAAATATTTAGTGATTAAAAGAACTGCATATGTTTCAAACAACGGCGCTTAAACCTTCTCCCCTGCAACAGCTCTTAAGGGATGAGTCACATGTATAACACACTCTCCCATAGGAGTACCTAGATTTTGCCACCACCCCCCAATTTAAACTTATATAACAATGATTCATAATCAATCACCAATGAACCTTTTCAGTGTCACTCATTCACTGTAGGTTGCCACAAAGGCACTGTGACTCCACCCGGTCTCCCACTCAGGAAAGCAGGTGAATGAGAGTAGGTGATAGTACTGCGGAGATCATCTTAAAGCCACTCACGTTTACATGAAAAACTGAACTCTTCTCAAATCTCTTTACTCTTCCTCACTGATAGAATTTACTTGCAAATCTCCTCAGAACTGACTGCAACCTCTGTCATGGAGAAGGGCTGCTTTAGAAGTCTCAGAAGGGTCCTGACAATTATCTTTAAGTCTCTTAAGGTAGACAGAGCAGATTCTCTGCACGGCCTCCAAGGGCTGAGCCAGGACCCTCATGGGAAGAGGTAGGGTCCCAGGACAGCAAACCCAGCTCAGTAAGAGTTACTGTTGCCTATAATTCGGAGCCGTCTCAGATTATAGGCAACAGCAACTGGAGACGGTGAAAGCACCTGACCTGCGCGGAGTGCCGCTCTGTACCAGGCCCTTTGACACCTTATTTTATCTACTCTTCCCAAGAGGCCTGTGTGTCCGTTCAGACACCAAGACAGGATTAGAGGTGTAAAAAATGTATTGGGGAAACACTTGGGGTGAAGGGGGAGCAGGACTGTGTAGGTTTGACACCTGTGGAAGGAGAGAGGGCAGGAAGGTTTGGGGAAGGAAGGCTGTAGCCTCGTCTGCAGAAAACCTCAGCCAGGCTGATGAGGAGGCCTCAAGCAGCAGAGGTTGTGTGATGAGGAGCCCTGTGTCCTTCAGAGTTGGGCCATCACTAATATCCCCAGCATCTTTATTCATTG